CTCGCCAGAGGTGCCGGCTCCATGGTGTCCTCCTGATTCCCTTTCCTGGGTCCGGTACCAGTGTTTGACGCCGATAAGCTGAAGGGCCTGACAAAGAGAGTTACCGACGGGCACCATCTGACGCTGCGTGAGTTGACCACTGACGCGGTGTTGATAGACGAGGCGAGAACAGAGCTTAGAAAGCCTCAGTTTTTGTTTGGCGATGCCGCGACCGATCCTTCAGCCCTGTTGGTCAAGGAGAGCAGGTGGCTCCGCGCTGTGGATGGGGTCCCTTACTATCTCCCTAGCATGCCGAGAAGGTTCTCAATTGTCGAGTTGCGGTCTCTCGCAGTCCCAAGAGTGATGAACTGGGATTTGACCCCAACTCAGGACGGGGTGACTTGCGGTGTCTTTACGGGCTCCACGGCCGGGTACGGGGTTGAAAGCTCCTGCAAACGTGTGACCGCCCTACGTCCTGGCCTACCGTTTAACGAGTTGCCTGCTGGGGAAAAGACAGCGATCGCGGAGACCTTCCGTCATCGTTTCTTCCAAGTTGGTGGGAGATTTCCTCCAAAGGACTTCAGAGCCCCAGGGTGGATCTACTACGCGCCTGGTAGCAGCACCTGGTGGTCCAAGATTACTGACTATGTTTTGGCCGAGAATTCTAACCTCATGGACTCAGAGTTGTTTGTGGCCATTCGGGCCACTCAACATGGTCTGAAAATCAACGCTCCTCAGTTCCACAGTGTCTTGGAACTGTATTGCGCGAACAGTGGCACGTTCTTCACCCCCAACGGTGAACTTGGCATAACCCTTCACGAGATGTACGACGTGTCAGGGCTGCCCTTGGGAAACTTCCCATATGAGGAGTACATCCCGAGTCAAGACGAGATCGACCAGCTTTCTGACCGCTCTCCCTTGGTGGTCGAGACTCTATGGGAGTTGCTCTGCCACTACCATATATGCCTCAATACCTTAGGGGCGGTAGACCACAAATGGAGGAAGAAGAGGGCTCCGGGGATCAGCCATAAGAACTGTGCTGATTATTTATTCCTGGGGAATGACATCAGAGGGAGGCCTACTCTGCCGTTTGGGCGAGTGTGACCAGGCTGAAGTGGAAAGGAGGACGGCGGAAGGGGGAGACACCGTGACTCTTGAGCATGACGAGGGTGGATTCGGGTTCGGGACGGTTCTACACTCGTTCCATCACCAGGCCAAATCCCCTATATCTAGAAAGGCTCTACTCGCGGGGTACCTCATATATCTAGAAAGGCTCTACTCGCGCCCGAGTACAGAGGCCGGTCATTTTCGGGGGATTTTATCGTCAGGGGGAGAGGATCGACTGCGCCAGGGCGAAAGGTGGGTCCTCTATCTTCTAGGACAGTGAATCACGACTGCACACATTCAGGCGTGGTGTTCTAACTTTTTTATTTTTAGTTTTATAATAATTGTTTTAATTTTAATAGCAGATCCAATGGTGGAAGAGAGGCTAGCAGAATCAATGGAGGATCTGATCACAAGAGAAATGCGAGGGCGACGAGTACAGAGGCCGGTCATTTTCGGGGGATTTTATCGCTAGGGGGAGAGGATCGACTGCGCCAGGGCGAAAGGTGGGTCCTCTATCTTCTAGGACAGTGAATCACGACTGCACACATTCAGGCGTGGTGTTCTAACTTTTTTATTTTTAGTTTTATAATAATTGTTTTAATTTTAATAGCAGATCCAATGGTGGAAGAGAGGCTAGCAGAATCAATGGAGGATCTGATCACAAGAGAAATGCGAGGGCGATGGAGTTTGATGAACTCGACCTGCTTGATCTTGGCATCGCCGGCGTAGGGGCCGATAACTATGTTGGAGCTGGGGAGGACCATGTCCGTGGTGACATCGGCACGTGCGAACCCCGACGGGACGAAGAGGGCGACGTCTGAAGAAGTAGGCTCACGTGATTGGATGGGAGATGTCGGCGTTGGCTCCCTCCATTTTCGCCGTCGAATCACGTTAGGATTAAGGGGAAGGTTTTCTGGGTGAGAGATGAGGGTATTTTCGGGAGTCTTTATAAAATATCATTGAGTACATGTATAAAGGTGGGCTTTTGGGGCTGAGGCACACTTTGTAGCCTCTTTTGGGGCTAAAGAGTAATGATGTGTTTGAGAGTTTACTTAAGGAAGGGAATGAAAGGGAAGGAAGGGGAAATTTTTTCTTTCTTTCCCTTCCCCTCCATTACACCCCAATTTGGGGTGTAAGAATTTGGGCCAAATTTCCTCTGCATTCCTCTCCTCTACCCTCCAAAATGAAACTCCCAAACAATGTTAAAATAAAATTTCCCTTCCCTTCCCCCTCTCTACCCTCCATCCAAACAGGCCATATAACTCTTAACCATATCACATTTATGTGATTATTGATGACAGCAAAGTCCCTGTAACTCTAAGAAATGGGGTACCTAATTAATAGCAATTTCCATGATTGAAGGGACTAATTTCAAAGTAACTTAAGATTTGAGAGATCTAATAATAATTTCAACAATTTAAGGAACTAATTTCAAAATATGAAAGATGTAAGGGACTAATATTCAAATATGAAAATTTGATTGTTTTGTTAATATTTTTATACTACAATTACAAATTAACCTATCAATGGATGATTTATTATTTTGGGGTTATTTTTCCTTAAGTTGATGATTTGTAGATAGCTTTACAAATACTGAGAGTTTAAGATAATTCGCAAATACGCTTGATTTAAGGGGATATATATATATATATATATATTTATATACTAATCCATTAAGTAAGAATAAGTTGATAAATTGATGAATTCTTATTGGATATACATAGTATGAAGATAGGGATATAGTTTAAATTAAAATATAATCATGGATAAAATTATTAAATGCTAACTTTACAAATGTATACAAGATGAAGGGCGTACGTATATGCAAAAACCAAACAAATCAACCAGACAAAAAATGTCTGCCCCAAAGGTCGAACCTAGAAACATCGCAGATCTATATATGTACATAATATGGATTAGATATTTGAAAAATCCACCAAACAAATTAAAGAGACAAGAGTTGTTCTCAAAATTATAAAAAAGAAAAATTAAAATAAATGGTTGCGATCTAAGGACACAACATGTCGATCTCTCACCGATTAAACTTCAAGTAGTTCACGGTAGTGCATAATGAGTTTTAAAGTTTAATTATACTATTATTATTTAAATAGAACTCTATTTACAATTGTTATTTTCTCACATGCAACGACACATGCTAATATATATAAGCCAAGAAATTATAATAATTTTCATAGGACTTTCATCTCATTCCATAGATATGTACCTTTGTTATTTTCTTCTTATTAGATTGATTGGATTATTTTAAAACAATTAATTACATTATGTATTTAATCTTTTTTCATATTAAGAAATAATAATAATTTTCATAACACTTTCATCTATTTTCTTCTTATTAGATTAGACTAGATTATTTTAAAACAATTAATTATATCGTATGTTTAATTTTTTTATATCAGAAATTATAATAATTTTTATAACACTTTCATCTCCTTCAACAAGTATGTGTCTTTGTTATTTTCTTCTTATTAGATTAGATTATTTAAAAATTATGAATTATGAAATTATAGTAATTTTTTAAATCACTTTAATCTATTTTCTTCTTATTAGATTAGATCACATTATTTTAAAGTAATTAATTATATTGTATATTTGATTTTTTTAGATCATAAAATTTAACTATACTTTTATTATTTAAAAGATACTATTTGTACAAAAATCAAAGAGAATCTCACACGTATTTTAAATCTCAATACCAATTGTAATACTTATATATTAGTGTTGGTTAAAAAAAATTCATTCATAGGCTTAACTTATATGATCCTACTTTAACCGGATTAGATAATTTATTTTTTTCACCCAAACTCTTCCACAAAGCCAAAAGAGAATAGTAATGCTATAGCTATATATATCCACAGGACTACATATATCTTGAAAATGAATAAAGAAAACCACACAAGCAAAAACCATATTAATTACCCCACACACTCACTGTTTTCAAAACCACACTTCTCCATCTTCATCTATAATATATCAACATACCCAAATTAAGCTGTTGGAGTTTAGCCCTCACCAACTACATCATTGATCAATCCTCCTTTTTTTCTTTGTACTTAAATTATATAACATTCATTGTGATGATGACTCACCCGGGTCATCTGTCTGCCTTAAATATCCAATAAAAATAATAATATACTAGGCCTTGTAGTTAGTTAATAATGAGATTCTGTTATTAAATAAATGAAGTAAAGATTAATAATTCTTAAGAATGTATTGTATTCTCCTAGCTTTCACTACAAACTTGTTAGTTGTTTATTCCTGACCCTAAGAGGTTTTTAAAATTAATCTTAAGGGTTGTTTGCATTAAAAAAGTTCTGTTAAAGGGCTCATATAATTTGTTTTATAGTTTAAGATTGTCAACATATTTTGTCTCTGATACATATCCATTATGAGTAATAATATAACTTGATTGATCTAAATATATCCTAATATATTTTTGGACTCTTGTCTTGTCATTTGCTCTTTATTATGTATCAACATGATATCACAATTGATATAGATGATGAAGACACTGTTGTAGAATTACCCAAGAAAAAGATAAATGTGGAGAATGATTAATTTCAGCTCAATTAAATATGAAAAAAGAAGGAACAAAGGATAATATTTTTTGAATATTTTATAGTAGAACTTAATTTTTTGAGTAAAATTAGGAATATTCAGAAGGGATTTTGATGCAAAATTTTTAATATGCTTATGTGAATGATTTTGTCATATAAAATTATACTAGAGTCACCAATAATATTTAGTATTTATTTTTTTATTTTAAGTCTATCAATAATTAAGATGTCTTGTAGTCTTGTGAAAGTACGTACACTGTGCTAAGCTTATACAAACCATCTTAATATTAAGTATTTGGTTATATATTATTAACACATCAACAATACATTATTGTATTTTTTTTCAAACTTAACACTACATTTAATGACTAAGATAAACAAATTGGAGATCGACGATTTGATCTGATAAACAAATATATTACATAAAGTTTGATATATACAAATTTAAAAAAATAATATTGTGTATGCAAGTATATAAAAGTATATTGATCCTAGTTTTACATGCAAATCTATTTCATAAAATTTTAAAAAAATATGTAAATAAAATTTAAGGCAAATATAATAATCCATGTTTAAAGATTAACTCAAGATGAATCTAACTTATCTTATAGCAAGAAAATAAATAAATAATTTTGATATTTAACTACGTGCATTGCACGTGCATAAGAACTAGTATATATATATATATATATATATATATATATATCATACTCCCTTTAAAAGCACGAGTTCAGGAAAATCTTTCTATGGTTAATATTACCCTTCACTATTTTAAATATTACATTTAAATTTTAATCTATTGTAATTCTAATTATATCTTATCTAATCCCACATGAACTATCTATAGCTTAACAATTTAAAAAAAAAGGTTAACAAACTACGGGGAATATTATTTTAAATTTTTTATTTAAATCTTACTCTGTCTAAATACTAATTATATCCTATATTAACACCACATGAACTACCTATACCTCAGCAATTTAAAAAAATAAGATTAAGATTTAATTCAAAAATTACACAAAATCTTTAAAAGTTTAAAATTACTCAAAACACCGTGACTTTTCAAAACTTAAAACAACAAACATGAAATCTAAAAATTAAAAATAGCCCCTGAGGAATTTAAAAATTACAATTATACCCTCGAAATTTCTAAAATTATAGAAACAACCTCAAAACTTCAAATTAGAAAAAAAACACCCTAAAAGCAATGACTTCAAAACTTACAAACAATATAGATAGATTTTAGGGATTACAATTAGGCACTTAAAAACTTAAAATTTGTAATAAATAACCTCAAAGTTATAGATAGATTTTAGGGATTACAATTAGGCACTTAAAAACTTAAAATTTGTAATAAATAACCTCAAAGTTACATAAACTACAAAAACTCCCTCAACTTAAAATTTGTAATAAATAACCTCAAAGTTACATAAACTACAAAAACTCCCTCAAAATTTAAAAATCGCAAAAATCCTGAAATTTCAAAACTTATAACCGGTAGGCATCAAATCTAAAAATTATCAGCAGATCATTGAAAATTTAAATTTATCAAAAAACAACTCAAAGTTTTAGTAATTGTAAAAAACACACTTAATTTTTCAAAGTTGAAAGAAACATCTTAACATTTAAAAACTTACCACCAACTCATAAAACATAAAAATTACAAACACCCAACATAAAATTTAAAATTTTCAAAAAAATAATATTAAAGTTAAAAAATTACAAAACATACCCTCAAAAGTTTAAAATCACAAAAGGCTAAAATTTGGCAAAGAAAATAGTAAATGTTTGATATCATTTCATTAAGATATATAAATTTAAGTTTCAATTTAAAGTTTACCATCCATTTTTAGCATCTAAAAGTAGTCTAAGTTGACGCTGGTAAAAAATAACAATTACGATAGATTAAAACTATCCAGTTAAGGAATAAAAATTTAAAAAATATATGATAGATTAAAAATTAATATTACTGTATAAATTTAAGGAACTACATATAATATTAGTAACAACATTAATTGATAGAAGACCAAATTACATAAAACTAACAAAAGACTATAATATAATAAGTTAGCATTAATTGATTATAATGTATAAACATTCATCTCTGATGTTAATAATATTTATAGAGTAAAAAAATACAAGGAATTTTGCATGAAAAAGCTATCAGGAAGTTCAGAGATATCCTTAAAAAAATCATGCTTTTTTTATTTTTAAATAGAGAAATGAAGTAAATAAACCCAAAATATGAAAACATTCATGAATCATTGGAACTGACATTGACAAAAGGTATATCTAGCAAAGAGCACTGATGCGTTCCCCCTTGAAGAAATGTTTAACAATTTTTTCCCAATTAAAAAAGCATTCATCGTGAAAGATACAAGAAATTTTAGTTTGTATGTATAAATTTTCTTACTTTATTCTTGAAATACTAATGAATCATAAACTTAATATAAAATTACATATAAATAATCTTACAATAGAAACTAAAGTGAAGTCGTTGATCAACTATGTTGTGAGATACAATAAGCCAGATAAGATGAGAGAAATTACTATAATGGACAAAAGATATATAGATGATAATTAGTTACAATAGCATAAGTAAAAAAAAATTAAAATTGATATTTTTCTTTTTCTAATATATGGTATGACTCTACAAGTAAATTTATTTAGGGATATGACTACCTAATAAAGGATTAGTTTTTAAAGACACGATCAAAGATAAGTACATAATAGCACTGTTAGATTTCAAGATCTTTAAATATGAAGGTATCATATTTTACTACTAAAACTTTTATTAAATGTCACTAAACATAAAATTCACATTATATATGTCTCAAATTTATAGGGAAAATATGCATGTTATCGTAAATTGTGTTAACAATATATACCAGTACAAAAATACAACTTATTAAAGAAATAAAAGAATGATAAATAAACCAAACAAACATACATATAACGCAATAAAAAAATATTACACTTTAAAGCTAATACGCATTGCTTATTCAGAACAAGCTATTAATATAGAAGCATATCCATCAATGCTCTTTACAAATACAATATAATTTTAAACTATTGATGTATGCAATAATCACAATATCAAAGAGGTATGATCTTATAAGACCTACTCTAAAATTTACACAATTTAACTTAAAAATACTCTACCAATATACAGACACGCTATTGGACCTATAATGTAAAGATAACTACTATTTACAATAAAGTTGAGCCGTGGTTCTAGCTTGCAAAGAATACAACAAGAATATTGGATAGAGATGTTAATAAGAATGTCCAAATGATAAATATCATAGAATTACTAATAAAGTAGTACCAATGTTGAGTAATATCCTTTATTCATGAAATAAACATATCAAGATTAAATATTAACATTATAATTTAAGCCATTTGATAATAAAAAATATAGTTATTTAGTTTAGATCATTGTGGAAAATAACATAGATAGAGTAAAAGCAACATTATTTAACACGACAGAAACTCTTATTGGATGCACACTAAAAAAATTTATTGTAGAGAAAAAAGAGATAACTCCTAACCTTTTTAAAAAAAATAAATTAGAAACAAAAAAGTTATATATATATGAAATTAACATGTAGTCTCATTAAAACACAAAAATAATCAAGGTATGTATTTCTAGAATTTTTATTGAACATCAAAAATGCATTCAACTTCTTTGTGAAGTAAGATAAGAAGACAAATCATGAACGAGCTCAGGAAAAATAATTACACAAGAAATCCAGCTCTAGCCTGGTGTCACAATCAATATAGATGATGAAGACACAACTCTAGAATTGCTCAAGAAAAAGATAAATGTGAAGAAGGATTGATCTTAACTCAATAAAAAATGAAACAAAAAGAATAAAGTTTTATTTTTTGAATATTTTATATAGAATAAATTAATTTTTTGTGGAAAACCAGGAATCTTTAGAAATGATTTTTATGAACTCTTTTAAATATTTTTATATGGTTATGTGGATGCTTTTATCATATAAAATATACTAGAGTTAGCATTAATCTTTAGTCAATGATTTTTTCTGAAGTCTATCAATTAATTAGCAACAAACTTCATATTCTCTTTAGTTTCATTTTAGCCCACTTTTAATTTATCATCTTGGCTCTTTAGCTTTAATTATCCAACTTTCTTTTATAACACTACTTTTTTTAAGTGTTTTTCACTTTTACAACATTATACTTTCAAGCTTGGTTTTATGTCGGCCCAAATCACGTGAAAATTCAAATTGGCTTTAGATTATATTTGTTTCCTATCAATTTAATTATCAACATAAAAATTTAAACTTGGTGTAACTCATTCAAATAAACATCAAAGAAAATAAATAATCACAATGCTAAAATTTAAAGACAAAAGTGAGCAAAAACGATCAAAGTGGAACTGAGGAACAAAATTTAGTAAGGAAATAAATTAAAAATATTTACTCATGATATATATAGAGAGAGAAAAAAAAACTTATGTCAACTTAAGTGGACGTCCAATAAGTTTCTTAGTCATTGATGACCAGTTGATTGAG